AGGGGGGAGATAAAGCACTTAAGTATGGGGGAGATAATGCTGTTAAGCGCAACAATGAAGTGAATAGAACTGGGGGACAGGGTGCCCCAGGATGCTGCCTTATATACATGAGGGAAAACCCCCCAGGGACCGGTAATGGACCCCTGGTACCTAGCTGGGTAAGGATTACTAAGTATCATGTGCTCTATGATGTCATATATGATGTCATAGTCTGGCCCTGCCCTGCCCTGGGCCTAGGGTCCAGAATTGACCGGCCTATGGCCTAGTGCCTGAGCCTAGCTCCTATCTATGATGTCAGAGTGATGTCATGGTCCAGAAGGAGTCTGGTTTCTATCTAGAAAAGGTCCGGCATCAGAGTCCAGCCTGATGTGTCCAGAACAAGATCATGTGTCGCTTATTTAAGCGGATAACCCCTTAGATATGTAGATGTACCCATATGCGGACGGATAAGTATGGATAAGTCCCTATACCCTTTGATATGTCCGCAGAAATAGCGGAAAAATTAGGTAAAATTAGGGAAACTGTGACACGTTCCGAGATCTACGCACGAGGCATCGGGAAGACCGTGCCGAGCTTCGAGTAAGTGTCGCACACCGTCGAAGGTGTCGAAGAGCGTCGAAGGCGAAATCGAAGTGTTGGGAGACTGAGTCGAAGTGCCGGGCGGGATGCGAGTGCCGAAAAGAGGTGAATCGGGGCCCAGAGGGGCTTGGCGCCTATCAGCGGCCCCGGGGGCCGGTGAGTCAGAGCGGCTGTGTCAGCGGAGCCCGAGCTGTGCCATGCACTGCCGCCCCATCTAATCTAATTGTACAGTAGATAATGACGTGTCCATATCGGGCATGTAGTACAGAGGTCGCGGGTTCGAGCCCGCGAAAAGGAAAAAATTAAAAAACGGCTAGGCGCCGTGCCAACTCGTGACACTTTCTGAGCTTGCCACAAGGCTTCTGCGAGCGCCTCCACATCCTTCTCTATCTCCCCTCTGATATTCTTTTGATACTGTTCAAGGTCACGCACCTGCTCCTTCACCCGGTTCACACATCCTTCCAGCTCAATTCGAGGTTGCTCTAGTTTGTCGACTCCGTCATCGAGTATGTTATAGGCCGCCATGGTCTTGTGGCATACTTGATTTGCCACTTCCGAGGTGATCAGTTCCATATCGACGGTGTCAGCAATTCGAGAGAATGCGACAAGGCATTCCACAGTGGTTGCAGCGGGAGCAGCCGCACGAGTGAGATGCAATAGGCTGTCTCGTATTATTAGCAGGCTCATTGGTTGCCCACCCGGAATTAGTTCCTTGGACTCAAGAAGCTCAATAGCCCTCTCAACACTGTCGACTTTCTCAATAGCTGCACTGTACACAGCATCGCTGTTGCCCGTCATTGGGGTGCTGTTTCACGTTGTGCGTCGCGTTTGCGGGCCTCCTGGCAGTGGCTTGCCACTAGTTGATGCCATAGATAATATTACTTCTGTCGTTGAAGTAGTGTAGACTCTAGTACTAGTTGTTATATGAGCCCACACGTCTGCTTTTCCCGCTCCTATGGGTGCAGACCGTGGGAAAGTTGCCGGAGATGGTAGTCTAAAGCAAGAAGGAGCCTGGAGGAGGTTGAACAAGCGGCCTGCGCAATTTTACGCCCATTTGCAAGCAAGATTGAGGCCACAAAGAACTAGTGTTTATGCTCGCTTTTGCCTCTTCCTCATCGACCTCGCCCGATCTCAATATTCGTAGGCTTGAGTGAGCTTATCCTTGCCAGGTCTTTGGCCCCTTAGCTTGTCATGACGATCACAACCGCACAAGACGAGATGCTAGCTCTTCGACACGCAACCCGCGCTCGTTTGGAGACCATTTTGGAGACTATTAATACTCCGGCAGACCCAGAGCATACGAGTTAGCTGTGTGCTAGATCCCAGTGGATATGGGCAACATTGTCTCCATCCTCTGGCAATCAGTCGATGAGTGTGCTGCTGGCATTGGCAAGTACGTTCATCCTGCAGATAGCTGTTGATTGCACAGTGTGATTGTATATGTGAGCTAATGTGATCCTGCCATTTCATTGCAATGTTCTGCGGCACTGCCACTTTTGAGCAGCGGTACAAGAGTAGACGTCCAACAATGAGGAGGCTTACAATGAAGCTGAGCATAAGTGTCATGGCTAGTGCGTGATAGTAAAGTCAGTGAATGAATGGCTCCTCAGATGTTCACGCGTCGATGAAGAAGCACAGCCGATCAGTGGTCTGTTCATGCAACGAAACATCACACCCGCTGAGTCCTGGATTCAGAGAATATTCACAACGAGCCCTCAGGTGCCGCTAAGATGACAGTGTCGTAATAGTGATAAAACATTCACAAGCCTGACATTCCGTGACCCTCCTCTGTTTGCAAAGAACAGATAGGCCGATTGCTCATGATCTAGTGTCACATGTAGAGCCACGCTCCTCAAGAACCCATGCTGGTGTGTCAGAACATCGTCCCTGTAATTTCGCAAGGAGAAAATTGAGTAGTGCATGCAGAGCTGCTAACACGTGAATGAAGGAAAACGTCCCGCCAGGTTCGAGGAATCGACGAGAACGAGAGCACCACCGTCACCGAATGGGGGCTCTATGTGCAGTGCGTGGACCAAGGATAGCGATTAGGAAGATTGAGTACGGCATGATGCATGAGGTATTGTGAAGCAAGCGCGCCTCTCAAGCGTATCGCACTACTCCTGAGGGAAAACCGAGTGGGTACATGTCTCATGTATAGTCCAGCTTCCACACAAACAGGTGGGGGAATTCTACAGGAGATTAGATAACGGCAGCTTGAGCAAGCTGGCTCACATACTGGGCGGTTGTATCATCGGTCCTCGGTGCGAGTTGCGCCGAATCCTCCATGGTAGTGTCGAGGCGGCAATCTCAGCACATGGACCGCGCGGCGGATTTGCTTGGATTGCTCTTGAGCCATTCGGGCGCCCAGTACGAGAGCTATTTGAAGTGCGAGGTCGAGCAAAAGAGCGCGGCGATGCCGTCATTCAGCCTCTGTAGCGAGGAAGCGGTTGGGTATAAAGCGATCACCTGGTCGTGCAGGGTCGCGTGGATTTTCCTCGACAATCGTGGAGTGGTCCGATGTCTGTATGCAGCAGTGCCACCAGGCCCTTCGTCAATAGACCAATCGCCGAATGGTGTCTAGCATCACCCGTTGGTGGAATACGTGCAAAGACGGTCTGTTTGTCCGACTACCAGATCAATCAAACCTCTAGGTCATAGCGAGGATCTGAACTTGCGACTGAGAGGACGCTAAACTGATGGAGGTGACAGTTTTGGAGATAGGATCAGCGGCTTGTATGACGTGATCAAGGAATGAACTTACAGCATTGCCCTCATATACAATGCAATGAGGACAAACTATAGGTCCGACTAGAGGCTGCGCACTCAGTCGCGCTCCTCCTAAAGCGGGTATATAAATGCAGCGCCACAGTTGAGCTGAGCTGCCGCGTATGGTTGTTATGCTCCCATGCTTGCAGCACACCACGATCTAACCGTGGAACTGAGTCAGGAAACGCGTGTGTTGCCCAACAGATGCGTCTCTTACCTAGTCTCTGCCGCCGCCTACAATGGAACTGCATATGCGACTGCTGACGATAACACGAGAAGGGGTCTGAGGCGGTCAACAGAATGAGTCGAGCTATGTGCATGGCTAAGAGATACTGACGGATTGTCCTGATTGTACAACATGTGGTTCTGATATTGCAGCAATGCATGGAAGGCGGGATCACAGTGGACACCATTTCTGCAAGGCGGTATTAGCTGCCATGCTTGGTCATTACGGCAGTGAAAGGAGTTACAATTCTTACTGAAGCTTAAAGCCTGCCGCTGGTAGGAGCGGAATTGGAAGTCGGGGAAGATGGTTCGCGGTAATAATGATCAGCATCGACGACACAAGCTTGCAGGTCAGCTGCCGCGTCTTGCAGAAGACAGACTGATTGATATACGAAAAGCTGATGCCCACGGGCCAGTCTACCTAGGGCCTGAAGTGCTTTTCCGTCAGTCACCAACACCAAATCGCTGCCGTATGCACATACGGGTATATTGTCAAATGAGTTCGCATTGTATGTCGTGTTGCTGCTAGCGATTGTCATGCATGCTAGGGATGCTCGGGTTTGAAACACGAGGTCAGATCTTGATGTCTGACGATTGCACTCCGTTCAGCCATATTGGTGGGGATTGTTCATTGAATAACAAGAACCTGTGTTCCGAACATCAGTAAACGGAATGAGATGGACACAGTTTCAACATACCGGATGTTCTCATCAGAAATAAGGTGGTACGTAGCGACGCCTGATAGACGCCACGCATGTAGTTGCATGCCACTGCCACCGCCAGAAATAAACTCCGAGATGCAGCCGATAGCCCGAGAGCTACAGACATCATAGGAGAATATACCGAACATGAGGGGACCAAAGCAACGCAATGCTCCTCAATACAACTATACATCCCGCCCCTTGCCAGCAATCGCCAGGCACGGCCAGGGAACACGTCTGGCTCATCAGTGAAGAGCGGAGAGGCCAGGATCAGTTCATTGTCGCCTGTGGCACATCGTGATCACAGAGGCCCCAAACGCGACGGCGTGTCGACCCTAACAGACCTTTCTGGGTATATTTAAGACCTGTCCGGCGTGTGCAAAGCGTAACAGAATGAGGTATAAGGCCAGATGTCAAAACTCGGGACCGTGTCTGTGGATGATTTTAATTCGGATAAGACGACGTCAGTTACACTTGCACCTGCAGATCTATCAGAGAACATACCTGGAGAAATATTCTTGATCCAACCAGAGGTCTTCTACAGCAGGCACCACATCTCTCACTTTCTCTTGTTGATAAACGAGCAACTCTGGGTCCTCAGGTTCCGCAAGCGGTCCTATCGTCCACTCGTGTCGATCTTGATCGCAATCCCGACACCACTCACGGACTCTGGCTACTTGTCGGGCATATTCTTTCATGGTGCAGGCCTCACTGTCCACCCTGGTGTCGCCAGAACGTTTCCTCTTTATTCCTGAGACGATTGGCCGAAATCGGCGAGGAAAGCGGGCTGTGTCGTCATCCGACAGGGGAGAGCAATATTCGGCCAAGGCGCGGCGGTAATAACCATCAGGACAGGGTGAGAGTTCGCCGGTTGTCCATAACCGTCTGTTGGGTACCATCTCTGAAGACAGGGATTCTGTCCACAACATATACTGCGAGATTATGCTGTACGCATGAATGTCCTCCTTGTGGGGCAGCAACTCCCGCAAGATTTGCTGGTAGTGCAGTGGTCGCTTGCTCAATTTCCGACCCGCATGAAAAGCCATCGAATAGAGATCGGCGTCCAGCTCGTGCCATCCAAGCGAGCGATATGAACATGGTGCCATCATGATGGGAGGTGTGATTGGGTGACCCATGGTCGCGCATGAGTCTGGAGGGTGCTCGTCCTCTGCGATGACGTAATACTTGTACACCTGTGTCACCATAAGCACGCGATTGGTCAAGTGTGCGTACGATACATACAGTGCAATACTCAAGATCCTCTAAATGCTTAGGATGTGGTATCATCAACAATCGGTTCGTTTCCCACAGTTTCCGGAGGTCGCGTCGAACTGCATGCGGTAGGTGAGGCTTCAAAGGACGAAGGGAACCATATCAACCACGCACGGAATATAATATTCTCAGGCGCGTGACACAGGAAGATGTCATAGTCGGTACGCATGTTGAATGTCATGTAGTCAATCTTTTGATTCACCTTGTCAGCCACAAATGTAAAGTAGCAGTCATGCCTACTCACCAATAGCTGAGGCATGTCGGGAGGCAATATATAACACGCTTCTACATCAGCAGACACGCACCCAGTGATCATGCACCTCGGGTGAGGTCCGAAAGGAATGCCGTCCTTGGACGCCTCGCTTGCAGTGCGCACTCTCTTGGCAGGAACTTCATCAGTCTCTGTGTCCGGACACCGTTTCCGCTTCGGCGGGCGGGGGATATCTTCGACTGGCGACTCTTGTTCAATGTGGAGGGAGACCGGTTCAACTGCATCTGGGTGGACCAGCCTGATGATGGGTATATGTACAAGAGCGTCTATAGGTAATAAGTGCTGGTAGTGGAGCGGTCGCTTGATGAATTCACGACCCACTCGAACTGTCATCAGATGCAGATTTGCACTCAGGTCATGCCACCCCAGCGAGCGATACGAGCCAGTAGCCGTCGCAACTGGAGGCGTAGTGGTATCATCCCTGGGGTTGCCCGAGTCTGCAGGGTGCTCATCCTCTGCGATGACGTGGTATGTGTAGACCTACTCGACTGTGAGTACGGCGACCACCTGGAAGGGCATACCATACATACAGGGCGGGTATCGGGGTGATTTATATGATCGGGATGGGGTATTATTAACAGGCGGTTCGTTTCCCATAGTAAACGCAGGTCGCGTCGGACTGCATGTGGGCTGTAAGAGAAGGTAAAAAGGACTGGCTATTAGCAAGCACGCACGGAATATGATGTTTGCAGGCGTGCTACAATAGACGGCATT